CATACAAATTGTAATCTCCTGTGTAGTACTACAAAGTGCTACAAAGTGTTATTAACATACTACAAAGTATTATTATTTTTTATTATTACTACCCAAGATAACATTCTGTACCCATCTGGCACTCCAATTATTTTGGATGTTGTTTCTGTGATAACTCTACAATTTATTACAGTCTGAACAAGCTATGCATACAAACAACTAAAAGACAATGCTACCTCTGCTACTTGCTAGATGTTTAACCTTGGATAAAAAACTCTAGCTCTCTGGGACTCAGTTTTCACATCTGTGAAATGAGAGGCTTGGACCATCACAACACAATCCTTATTTATTAATTAACTTATGTATTAGCAGCTTTATTGAACTATAATTTACATACCATAAAATTCACCCTTTTTTGTGAAACAGGGTGTCACTCTGTTGCCTAGGCTGCAGTGAAGAGGCACTATCAGAGCTCATTGCAGCCTCAACCTCCCAGATTTAAGCCATCCCCCACCTCAGCCTCTTGAGTAGCTGAGACCACAGGTGCAAGCCACCACACTCAGCTAATTTTTTTTTAAATTTTTTGTACAGATGGGGGTTTCACTATGTCACCCAGGCTGGTCTCAAACTCCTGGGCTCAAGAGATCCTCCCACCTGGGGTTCCCAAAATGTTGGGATTACAGGCTTGAGCCAACCGGGGCCAGTCAAATTCACTCTTTTAAGTATACAATTCAAATAGTTTTAGTAAATTTGGAGTTACACAACCATCATCACAGTGTAATTTTAGAACATTTCCATCATTCCGAAAAGAAACTTCATCCCCATTCCTCATTTAGATAATCTTTTAAAAGATCCTTTCTAACTTTTCCATTTCTAGACTTATAAAGCTTTAGTAGCTCTTCGGCTATTTACAATTTCAAATTCCTCAGTGTAACATTCAAGGTCCTTTACAATCTATAAAACCTTCACTGTCTTTTTTTTTACCCAATCAAATGTAGAAATTACTTTTTTGTGTTAAAACATTCCTTAATGAGCTAGCAATTATTTATGTGAAGGAGAGTCCAGAAAACAGATTTTTGACTAAATTATCCTTGTCCTTGATTAAAGAGATTCATGAATTAAACACATAACGCTATTCTCTAGAGTAGTTACTGAGGTCTAAGAGGCTGTAAACTTGGAAGAGCTTCTCCCTGCCTGTCAGGCTGCTCCCATTAGATCACAAGACAGAATGGACATATTTCTCAGTCTCTTTCATTTTTGGACCTTATGCTTGGCATCTCATCACCTTACTTGATTAAGAGATCCCGGAGGGCAGTTGCCATATCTATATCCAATTATGTATCCTTAACTCCCAATGTGGGATTCTGCATACAATATTTAATAATGATAATAGTAACTGGTAGCTAAATTAAGCATCTACCATGTGCCAGACACTGTTCCAAGCACTTTACAGATACTAATTTATTTAATTCTTATAACAACCCTGTGAGATAGGTACTATTTTTAACACTGTCTTATAGATGAAGAAACTGAGGCAAGAGAGATTACATATTTGCCAAAATCACAAAGCTAGTTAAGTAGCAGAGTTGAGATTTTATTTCAGACAGTCTGGCTCCAAAGTACGCACTCTTAAACCACAGCAAATTGTCAAACCAGTTGAAGCTCAATAAATGTTAATTGCATAAAGCCTTATTATTAAGGTTCCATCCCAGGAAAGAAAAGTAATTAAGAATTCTGGGTGCCAACTGACACAGATGTAATGAGGGTAGGGAAAAATACATAGAACAAACTCTGATTCAGACAAGAGAGTCACCAAACTTTAGGGTAGGTCTGAGATGCTCCAAAAATAGTTGTTGAACCCGAAACTGTATCTTAGAAAGATAGATCTGTTCTCATACATAGGTGGTGGGAATGTAAAATTGGTAGTGTCTAGCTGAACATGTGCATGTTCTATGACCCAGATATTCCTCTCCTATGGCATATACCAACAAAAATATATATTTAAATCTGTCAAAATGTACTACTGGTAATAGGCAGAACTGGAAATTCCCCATCAACAGAAGAATGGATAAATCGCATGTGGCATGTTAACAAAAGATAATATCGCAATGAGAATGACTTATAACTTCAAAAAATAATATGGATAAATCTTTCAAACAATGTTGAGCAAAAGAAGTCAAACACAAAAGAGACTGTATTAATCCATTTATATTAAGTACAACAAAAAGGTAAAATGAACGCATCCTGTTACAGGTCAGTATAGTGGTTTACCCTTGGGAGGTGTATTGACTGGAAGGGGGCATGAAGCAGACTCCTGGTAATGTTCTTTTGGGGGGGGGGCGGTTGTTGTTGTTCTTTTTAATCTCAGCAGTGGTTGCACAGGTGCGTCGAGTATATAAGTTTATAGCACAATGAATACTTCCAATCTATACACTTTTCTTTACGTGTACTGTACTTCAATAAATTCTTTATAGTCTTTCTGAGTAGAGAAAAAGACTCAAGCAAGAGCCAAAAATAAAAGTCACTTTTGTACTTGACATGCACAACTAATGACTGACAAACTCAAAGTTATCCCTTTGACCTGAGATGGACAAGGCAGATGTTTCTCTCTTTTGTGGAAACAGTGAGTTAACAAAAGGGAGGCCATTTTAATCCCGAGCCATTAATGCAACCCTAATCCTTTCTAAAAACTGAGGAAAAAACAGATTCACAGCAGCATACCACCTGTGGGCACTCACAGCCCTGCCAGGCAACAAAACAAATACTAATTCTGTTTAAAGAATCAAGTCTTCATTTGGAGTTTTTATTTATATTTCAAGACTAATGACACTATCCATGCAGTACAAATGGATTCTGACCGTGATGCAAATTTAAGTTTTCTTGAGCACAAACCCTATCCCAGCGCCAGTCTGAGCACACCTATCTTTATTTATTAGGCAAGCATTCCACATCTATGGATCTCAGTTTCCTTATCTGTAACATGGGAATAATAATAGTATCTCCTAATAGGTTAATGTAAGGATTGAAGGCATATTTCATGTAAAATATCTAACACAGGGCCTGCCACATAGTTAAATATTCAATATGTATTAGTTGCTATTATAATTTTCATATGGGCCCATTAATGGTTTCTTCTCCCTTCCAATTTTCATACAGCAAGCCCAGTTCATAGTTTCAATCCTTAACAGGGGAATTTTAATATTTTAACACTCAAGGACAAGGGCAGTTCTGCCTCCCCATCTCCCCCAGTTGTCAAAAGAGAGAAAAAAGGAGTATTCAAGTGAGCTGATTTTGAACTAGAGCTTAGGTAGGTTGGGAGAAAAGGGAGTCTGGACAACAGAAGTTCCTTTCTTTTAATGGTACCACCTTCTTATACCATGTCAGAGCACCTCGTACAAATGACATGATCTGGAAACAAAGGGACACAGAAAAAGGCAAGGCTGGCTGTTACACGAGATGTGGTTATCCTCCACAGAGAAAGGCCCTGAAGAGGAGGGAGTCAGAAAAAGAGGTTGAAGGTTGGAGTTTGTGCTTTGCCCATCAGGCAGCATCAAGGTCTTATGCTAAAAAGTGGGCAAAACATTACTAGTTACAAAAACTCTTTCACACACATCCTCTTATTTAATCCCACACCCATCTTGTGAAGTGAGTCAGGCAAATTTCATTATCCTCATTTGGTAGGTGTATCAGTCCGTTTTCAAGCTGCTGATAAAGACATACCCGAGACTGGGCAATTTATTGCAGGTTTATTGGACTTAACAGTTCCACATGGCTGGGGAAGCCTCACAATTATGGCAGAAGGCAAGGAGGAGCAAGTCACATCTTACGTGGATGGCAGCAGGCAAAGAGAGAGCCTGTGCAGAGAAACTCCCGTTTTTAAAACCATCAGATCTCATGAGACCCATTCACTATCACAAGAACAGCGCGTGAAAGCCCTGCCCCCATGATTCAACCATCTCCCACCGGGTCCCTCTCACAACACGTGAGAATTATGGAAGCTACAAGATGAGATTTGGGTAGGGACGCAGAGAAAACCCCTATCAAAGCTAAGGCTCAGAGAGGTTAAATTTGTCCAAAGTCATTAGCTAGTAGTTGGTGGGGGTGCAGTGGGCAGCACTTTAATTCAAGTCTTCTGGCTTCAAAATCCATATTCTTTCCATTAAAAACACGCTGGATTTTTTACCAGGACTTTAATTAGCCTGGGCCACGTGTGTTACGATCAACAGGAAAAAATAACGACAGACCAGTTGTGAACTTTTTACTGTTCCCCAGCCCCAAAGAGGAGAAGGAAGGGAAGTGGATTTGAAACAGAAAGGGGCTGGCGTTAGGAAAGGAGGGAGTAGGATCTGGAAAGATGAGAGGAAAAAGTAGCAGAAGCAACTTTAACTCGGGGCTGGCTAAAAACAGGCGACAACTGGCTAGATAAACCTCTTGGGTTTCTCCTACCGGCTGAGCAGGGCCAGATCCACTCTGCCCCAGTCCCCTTCCTTTTCTATTGCCCAGCTTTGGCCGAAGAGATGCTGTAGCCCCACAAACCCTCACAGGCATGCCGTGGAGCTGGGGCGAGAGTGGGGGTCTGGGCAGCCCGTGGGGAAGCTTAGTGGCTGGAGGAGCCAAGAGGATGGTGAAGAAACGCTGGATAAAGGAAGTAACTCTGCAGGAGGCAGTGCCATGTGGGGTATTCGCGAATGGCGGTTACAAGTGCGGCTAGTATAAAAAGCTGAGATAAGGGTGGGTGTGAGGTCAAGGCTAGGGAGGAGCTGGAGTCAGAGGGCCAGAACAGGTGTGCACCGGGCGCGGGGGCGCAGACCACCTCTTTCCCGGCCGCCGACGCCCGCAAGCGGATCCTGAGAAGGGGTGTTTGGTTGAAAAGGGGTGTGGACCCAGAAAGAAACCCAGGACCCCGCACGGGAAAGACGCGTCAAAAACGGCTGAGAAGGCTGAGGAGGTGTGTCTGGGCTCCCAGGTGAGCACCAAGAGGAAGCTCGCAGCTGTCAGCCTCGCTTAACTCTTCTCCTTACCTTGGGTACCGTAATATGATCCATGACCGCAGTTCCCGCCACCGGAAGATCTCAGTGCTACTCCGGATGCCGCCGCCACCGCTCTAGCCACCCCCTGGCCCAACCCGGGTTTCTACCCCGCCCTCCCGGTCGTATCTCAAACTCTCGTCGTATCTCAAACTCTCGTCACCTGATCCTCGGCGGCAGCTCCTATCGCGACACTTTGACCGCAGCCGTTTCCGCCATCTTGCTTCCTGGCAAGTGCCCTTTTCTTCGGGGAATTGATTATTCTGGTTCAGGTTCAACGTTTGGCCCAGTCTTTAAGTCCCAGATTCGAGTACTGCCACCCTTCTCACACTCCTTCATGCTATAAGGGCTCTGAACACAGATGTCAGTCCTTTACTCTAATATTACAATGATAGCATCCTGCAGTGGTAACACAGGCTGCCCCATGCTGGCAATTGGGTTTCTGAAGAGCTTCCTAGATGTGAGACTTTGGGCAAGTCACCAGAGAATATTTTTTGAAATATGGAAAGGTATATCCTCCTCTGTGTCTCTCCTTTATGTGTCTGCTGCCATCAACCTAGTTAAAATCTGAAATACTACAGTAACCTCATCACTTTTGCCATCATAGATATGGGAAGAGGACCAAGGAAGGGCCCACTGGACCAGTTATCAGATGAGGGGTAAATAGGTGCAGACCCTCAGTGGTGTGCTCCAAGTCAGACTTGTGATGGGAAAAAGAACAATCTGAGAGTTGGGAAATCTGAGTTCTACTCCTCTCAGGTCTGCCACTAACTTGCTATGTGACCTTGGGGAAATCACGCCACCTCTCTGAGTCTTAAGTTAACCAAGGTTACAGTGAGGGTATTGTCCACCATCTCAGGGTAATTTCTAGCTCTACTATTGCAGTGTTATGGTTTGCAGTCTCACTGCCCCTACAAAATAATTTTGTTCTTCTTTGAGTTCTTACAACATTTGCTAGCAAAACTATCCGTTTATCATATTCTGTCTTTTTCTCTAGCCTGAAGGCCCTTCCCTCGATCCATGACACTATTCTCCCTTGTACCATCGTTCCATCATTTTCAGCCCTTTCACTGCCAAATATCTCAAAAGAATAGTCTACTTATCATCACCTTCACTTCTCCATAACAACTCACTCCTCCCTACCACTCCACTCAATTGGCTCTTTCACATCATCCTCAATTCCAGCTGCTGATTCCAAACAGCTCTTCTCAGTGCTAATTTTCTGTTTGTCTTACAGCATTTAAAACTATTGATTCATATTCCTTTTTGACATTCTTTCTTCTCTTGACCTTTATTATAAAGCAAACTCACTGCCTGCATCCCCAGCTGTTCCTTCTCTGACTCCTTCCCAGCTCCTTTCTCCTTTTTTAAAGCCATTTTCCTGGCTTCTATCTTCATTCCTCTTCTGTTTTCTTTCTTTTAGTTATCGTGATCTCTTCCACAAGTTAAACCCTTACTCCCGGATATGGCCTGGATCTGTGTCCCCACCAAATCTCATGGCTAATTGGAATCCCTAATGTTGGAAGTGGGACTTGGTGAGAGGTGATTGGATCATGGGGGTGGTTTGTTCTGAATGGTTTAACACCAGCCTCTTTGGTATTGTCATTGCCATAGTGAGTGAGTTCTCACGAGATCTTATGGCTTAGAAGTGTGTGGCACTGTCCCCTGCCCACTTTCCTCCTGCTCTGGCCATGTGAAGTACCTCACTCCCCATTTCCCTTCCACCATGACTGGAAGTTTCCTGAGGCCTCCCCAGAACCAGAAGCTACTATGCTTCCTGTACAGCCTGCAGAACCGTGAGCCAATTAAACCTCTTTTCTTTATAAATTACCCAGTCTCAGGTATTTATTTATAGCAGTGTGAAAAGGGGCTAATGCACCCTCAGTAGGGGATTCCCAACTTCATATCTCAAGTACCATGACCTTTTTCATGAGTTCAAATTTAGAACTTCCAATTGCCCTCTGACAGTTCTACTTGCGTGTTCCTGCTAGCACATTAAAGGCATCCTGGCCCAAAACAAACTCATCTTTCACACTCTCTCACAACCCCCTTGCATTTTCCTACCTCTACCACTTGCTCTTTCTCAATTTTTTCCTATCCCTACTAATTGCACCACCATATACCCTGTTACTCAGACTCAAAACCTTATTTCGATGCTGTTTAGGATAGTGGAAAGGGTGTGTGGACTCTAGTCAGACCAGGTTCAAATTTTGGCTTAGCAATATGCTGATAATACATGGCCCTGGGCAAATTACACAAACTCTCTGTGCCTTAGTTTTCTCATCTATAAACCTATTCTCATAAATTTCTTGTGGGAACTCAAAATGTAATGTATGTGAGGTTCCGGGAACATTGTAAAGACACAATGAATATTGATAGGTTCCTTCCTTTCCTCAACTTTATCATCAAATATCTCTGTTTTCTCTCTCAAATGCTTACCTTGCTTCCTAGTTTGCTGATAAAATAGAAACTATAAGAAGGGAACTTCCACATCATCCCACAACCAAATTTGCTTGATGCCTTGCATGTGAGCTCATATAATCTGTCTTCAATTAACGAACTCTTCCTGAGCATCCCTAAGGCAACCCTTCCACTTGTCCACTCAATTTCATTCTCTTTATCCTGCTCAATTGTTTCCTTGCCTTTATTACTAAATGTTTCCACTTTACTGGATCACTGCCATCAGCATGAAAGCATGCCATAGAATTTCCAATCTTAAAAAAAATCTTTTTGGACCCACATTTCTGTCCCCAACCTGCCATCCCCCCATTCCTCTTATACTTTATAGCGGAACTCTTCAAAAGATTTATCTAAATCCATTCTCTTCTATTCCTGTCCTATTTTCACTGTAAATCTCTCTAATCAGGCATTTCTTCCACCACCCCACCAAACTATTCTTGTCAAGGTCACCAATATTCTCCCCATTGCAAAGTCTATTGGTCATCCTCAGATCTCTTTTTGTCCTCTCAGCAGTATTTGATCACTCCCTTCTCATTGAATACATTTTGTTCACTTGGCTCCAGGGATAGGGATACCACTCTCTCTCCTACGTCACTGACTTCTCATTCCCAATCTCTTTTGCTGTTTCACTTCATTTTACCTATCTCTATATGTTGTAATGCTGCCAGAGCTCAGAATTATCCTCTTCTTTATTTACTCTTATTCCTTGGGTGCTGTCATCCAGTGCCATGGCTTTAAATAGCATCTATTTGTGGACAACTCCCAAAATTTTATCTCTAATCTTTATCTGTCCTCTGAACTCAAAACTTACATAATATTCAGCAGCCTACTGACATGTCTCCTTAGATATCTTAAAGACATCTCAAACTTATTACATCCAAAACAGAATTTTTGACTCTTTTATTTTACTTTATTTTATTTTTATTATACTTTAAGTTCTAGGGTACATGTGCACAATGTGCAAGTTTGTTACATATGTATACATGTGCCATGTTGGTGTGCTGTACCCATTAACTCATCATTTATATTAGGTATATCTTCTAATGCTATCCCTCCCCCCCCCCAACCCCACGACAGGCCTCAGTATGTGATGTTCCCCTTCCTGTGTCCAAGTGTTCCCATTGTGCAATTCCCACCTATGAGAGACAACATGTGGTGTTTAGTTTTCTGTTCTTGCTATAGTTTGCTGACAATGATGGTTTCCAGCTTCATCCATGTCCCTACAAAGGACGTGAACTCATCCTTTTTTATGGCTGCATAGTATTCTATGGTGTATATGTGCCACATTTTCTTAATCCAGTCTGTCACTGATGGACATTTGGGTTGATTCCAAGTCTTTGCTATTGTGAATAGTGCCTCAATGAACATATGTGTGCATGTGTCTTTATAGCAGCATGATTTATAATCCTTTGGGTATATACCCAGTAATGGGATGGCTGGGTCATACGGTGTTTCTAGTTCTAGATCCTTGAGGAATCGCCACACTGTCTTCCACAATGGTTGAACTAATTTACAGTCCCACCAACAGTGTAAAAGTGTTCCTATTTCTCCACATCCTCTCCAGCACCTATTGTTTCTTGATTTTTTAATGATCGCCATTCTAACTGGTGTGAGATGGTATCTCATTGTGGTTTTGATTTGCATTTCTCTGATGACCAGTGATGATAAGTATTTTTTCATGTGTCTGTTGGCTGCATAAATGTCTTCTTTTGAGAAGCATCTGTTCATATCCTTCGCCCACTTTTTGATGGGGTTATTTGTTTGTTTTCTTGTAAATTTGTTTGAGTTCTTTGTAGATTCTGGATATTAGCCCTTTGTCAGATGAGTAGATTGCAAAAATTTTCTGCCATTCTGTAGGTTGCCTGTTCACTCTGATGGTAGTTTCTTTAGCTGTGCAGAAGCTCTTTAGTTTAATTAGGTCCCATTTGTCAATTTTGGCTTTTGTTGCCATTGCTTTTGGTGTTTTAGACATGAAGTCTTTGCCCATGCCTATGTCCTGAATGGTATTGCCTAGGTTTTTTTGTAGAGTTTTTATGGTTTTAGGTCTAACATTTAAGGCAATCCTAAGCCAAAAGAACAAAGCTGGAGGCATCATGCTACCTGACTTCAAACTATACTACAAGGCTACAGTAACCAAAACAACGTGGTACTGGTACCAAAACAGAGATATAGACCAATGGAACAGAACAAAGCCCTCAAAAATAATACCACACGTCTACAACCATCTGATCTTTGACGAACCGCACAAAAACAAGAAATAGGGAAAGGATTCCCTATTTAATAAATGGTGCTGGGAAAACTGGCTAGCCATATGTAAAAAACTGAAACTGGATCCCTTCCTTACACCTTATACAAAAATTAATTCAAGATGGATTAAAGCATTTTTGATTTCTACCTGAATCCTCAAGCCTGCTCTTTACACAGTATTACTCATCTCAGGAAATTGCAACTTTATCCTTCCAGTTTATCCTGGTGCATTTGTGCTGCTAAAACCAAATACTCTAGACTGGATAATTTGTACAGAACAGAAATGTACTTATCACAGTTCTGAAGGCTGCCAAATCAAGCTTAAGGAGCCAGTAGCTTCAGTGTCTGGTAAGAAGGGCTGTCTTTACTTCCAAGATGGCATCTTAAATGCTCTCTGGAGA